CTCAGTATTCAACTAAGTGCACCATAAATAACTCAGCATTCAACCAAGTGTACCATTTAAATCCGCCCCTGAGTATGTCTAATAGTTTGGCTAGACTTGGTAACACAAGTATACAACAACAATAATAACAAAAAAAAGAAAACCCAGTGAAATCTCACATGTGAGGTTTGGGAAGGGTAATGTATATACAGACATTACCCCTACCCTGGGAAGATAGGGTCTAGAAAAACTGTTTCCGAATGACCCTCGGCTCGAGAGGATTGGTAACACAAGTATCCTAGATGATATTCCTATATTGGATTTCCGTAATGCGTCTATCGAGTATGTAATATAATATTAACGATTTATTACCAAAAATTTAAAAGTAAAATGCAAACAAGATTTGAAATTGAATTGTTTTACTCACCACATTGTCCTTGATCTTTAATCTTTGTAACTGCACCTTTTTTTCTCCAATCCATACTATATGGAACTGTCACATTTTCGTATTGGAAAGATGTATTTTTTATCTTCTGCTGAGACGATATTCTGTATCCATTACGAATAGCTTTGAATTCCTCATTTGTCATATCAGCAAATTGATTGATACCCAATTTATAAGTTCTTGTTACATCCTTATTGGTTGATTCAATATACTCAAGATTTTGTTTGAACGTCTCGAGCCTCTTTGCCTTTTTTGTATCATCTTTGTATACGCGTCCATACTGACTCATCCATTGCTCGTGCTTTTCAGTAATTGATGCTTCGTACAAAGTGCGAGATGTGACTAGTGAAATACACAATCCCAACACTAGTAGAGTAGCAAAATTGAGTCTCCAATTGAAAATAAAAGCCATAATTTACCACTTGAGGGTTTTACACTTAAAAAATCTAATACTTTTAATAAGGTAATTGACTTTTGGAATGAATAAGCTAATTAGAATTTCTTGACTATTTATAGACCTCAGTTTATTTGTTCTTTGAAGTGATTCTCTCACATTAACCCTTGCCTAATTAGTCGAAAAGAACGGCAAATTAAATCTTGTATGATTCACGTAAAGATAGATAATTGGATTGTTGCATGTTTTTTTTTTATAATGTTTTAAAGCATGTCCACACAATACAATAGAAACAAATCTAGCATATGGATTTTGAACGTTTCTTCAAACCGAAATGAACGCAAAACAAAGTGGAAAACAAAGAATGAATGAGTTAGTGACCACAAAACCAATTCAACATTAAAAAACTGAATGTCTCCTCAGACGAGGGAGAATGTTGCCCTCTTCATGTTTTATATGGGTATATTACCCTTATTCGCAACGAGTATTTACATCAAACTGTACCGTATAAATCAATATGGAATGCGAATGTAGTTACTTAAGAAAGATATTTTAAAAGACAAAATTAGGACTTACTATACACTCGCATACTTTTAATAATATTTTCTCTCTGAATTTAAATATTTTCCTTTTCGATGTATATGAGTTATTAGGACGTTATAGGTAACCGTCCTTGTCCTTATTGTGGAGGGCCACACTCGTGAAAAAATTGTTTAAATTTTTCCGGGGCGGTTACAATTATTTGAGAATTTTACAATTATAATAAAATTTTCAAGACTGATATATTTTTAATTTTTATAATTTTCTTAGTGTCACGGGCCCGTTTCCTTACGCTCACCAGCGGCATCGAATTGCCCGTGCGGCGCCTGCAGTTCCCCTCACTGCAGGCCAGCCTTCATCCTTTCCTAGGTTTTCAAGCACGATCATATGCATGTGGTGGAGCTCGCCCCAACTTGTGTCGCCCGTAAGATGCCTAGGCACTTGTCCCTAGACATGTCGTGGCACATCTCGTCTTAGGATCATAATCCATGCGCGCCCTGGGGTTGGCTTAGGACATGTCTTGTCCCTCTCCTAAGACTGAGTATCACTCTCGCGTGCACAACCCAATCCTCAAGCTTGACACTCGCCTGGTACATCCGCAACCCGGCTTGCGCCTCGCCCGAGTAAGGCAACCTTTAGTCTTTGGCCATTGCCATGCGCATCTTTCGTACCATGCCCAGGCCCTTAGCAGTATCACCCCACAACTGCACGTTTAGGCCAACGGACCCTTGCTCGCATGGTATGCTTACAAGTCGACACATGCTGCCTCTAAGATAGGTGCATCAAATATCCAATCGGCACAGAGGTCTCTTCCAACATTTCGGCATCCTGCGAGGCAGACCGTTTCACACGTCGAGCCTCCAGCGCCCTTTTAGTGCCCAACGCTAGCTCGAAGGCGTCGCGCCGTACATAGAGTTCTTTAACTCGTATGGATACCTAGGATATTCCTTTGAGTCATCCAGGCAGACCCTTGAGGTTGCCCCTAAGGTAGATCTTTCAATACGGTTTGGTGGCAGCACGTATGGGGGAGGCATGTCGGAGCTTTCATCACCTATACCCCCCTTATATATGCTTAAAATTAAAAGCCCAAGGTACATGAGTAGACAGATCTACGTCAGACAATCAGAAGAGCCTTTTCTCACCAGTTCTTGGCCGAAGTCACAACCCCAAAGTGCGGGTTATGACATCCTCCCACACTCATTATGTCATCGGCCCCGATGAAACATCATGGCCTACGATATCCCAGAGTCTTCCCCCTCATGTATGTATATTTTAGCTCCCTTTGTCCTGTGGGTTGGACTTCCTCGAAATCCTGCTCAAAAGGAGTCTTACCCCATGCACTTCTCCCCCAAGTATTTTCCAAGCGTGCCTCTGCACTTCACCTCCTTTCGGTGTTCACTTGGAAAGTGCCTCCGCACTTGCACCCTCTGGTGTCTAACTTTGTGATTGGCCCATACTAGTCAATCACACCATGACCCTCACGGCCTTGATGTCAGTCTGAAGATTTTCCTTCAATGGTAATCACATCAACGTGCTCTTTGGCGCAGCTCTAGTAGCTCATTCGCTCACATAGCCTTAAAATGCCCTCTAGCATAGCTCCAATAGCTTTCCTTGCCCTCAGTACCTTTGAAGATGTGTTGGCTTCCGGACTCACAACTTCGCCCTTATGCCTCTTGCATAGGCGGGATCCTCCCACACTCAATGTGGAGGAACTTCTTAGCGTTGTCGTCCCACTTGGCATTCGGCCAGCTCTTGGGACGACTCTTGGTGAGTACTACATTCTCAAAGTCATAGCATCGCCGCATTCCCAAATAAAGCTCTTTGTTTTCCAACTGTCACTTCCTCAGCAAGTACCCAATGCTCCCGGTAATACTTCAATACTCGCCCTATAGATAGGTACTCTCTTGGTCCTGCTAGCACGGCTTCCCGGTCTGGTTGTGCCTCGCACTTGGACTCTGAACGGTCCCCGATCATTCGGCATACCTCTTTCCAAAATGATGACACCTTCTAACTTGGAAATCCGCCCAATTCTAAAGCTTCGCTATTCCCTCGAATTCATCTCCTCACCTTGACAATGCCCTCACACAGTCCAAAATCCTATCCCGTAGGAAAGCCACTCAACTGATGCGTTGCACGCATCCTTGACAAGATCGCCGCCATGATCATGCCCAAAGTTTATAGTCTATGGCTCCCACTCTTTGTAACATGGTTGCACGACTTGGCAAACATGGCCTTCTCTTGACCATCCGACTCATCGGCATATCACCTCATTCAATAGAAACCTAGACTTTCGAAAGAAAGTGGAAACACCCATTTCTTTCTTCGACCAGCAGTATCGGGTTCTCGATCCCTGGTGGCATATGAACATCAATCTCTGCTTTGACATGATTAACGCACTGACATCCAAAATGCACTCGCCATCTCCACCATTGCCTTGACATTGTGTCATGGCATAGTATGGCCTTAATCAGCTCCGATACCACGTGTCATGGGCCTGTTTTCTTACGCTCGCCAGCGGCACTGAATTGCCCGTGTGGCGCCTGCAGTTTCCCTCATTGCAGGCCAGCCTTCATCCTTTCCCAGGTTTTCAACCACGATCATGTGCCTGTGGTGGAGCTCGCCCATGAGGCTCGCCCCAACTTGTGTCGCCCGTAAGATGTCTAGGCACTTGGCCCTAGACATGTCATGGCGCATCTCATCTTAGGATCATAATCCATGCGCGCACTGGGGTTGGCTTAGGACATGTCTTGTCCCTTGCCTAAAACTGAGCATCTCTCTCGTGTGCACAGCCCAATCCTCAAGCTTGACACTCGCCTGGTGCATCCGCAACTCGGCTTGCGCCTCGCCCGAGTAAGGCAACCTTAATCCTTGGCCATTGTCATGCGCGTCTTTCATGCTATACCCATAGATAGCCCTCGCGACACACTTCCATCCCGTCTAGTGCAGTGTTGCCCCACAACTGTACATTTAGGCCAACAGACCCTTGCTCGCATGGTTGAACCCAAGCCATGCTCACAAGTCGACACATGATGCCTCTAAGATTCACAACTCGCACTTTGGGGTTGTGACTTCAGCCAAGAACAGGTGAGAAAAGGCTCTTCTGATTGTCTGACATAGATCTGTCTACTCAGGTAACTTGGACTTTTTAATTTTAAGCATATATAAGGGGGGGTATAGGTGATGAAAGCTCCGACCT